GTATGAAATGGACATTACATACAATAACCGCTTCTACTTTCTGAAAGATACTCATTTCCATGATATCAATAAACACTGATACACTTTTCTAACCTCGTCATAAAACCCCAACAGTGAATGTGAAATCCCACACAGTGTCAAACGATTGTCCCGAATTATTTAACTCATTCCATACTTATTCTAGACAACTGTAATCCATTACTAATCAGTTAGTAATGACTGTTATCATGACTAATTGTAGAGATTGATATGCACCTATGAATTCGCTAACCAAAGTTCACAGATGTACTCGATGAATAGTTTATTTTCTTTAGACGTTCCGATGTGAACATCTGAGGATAATCCATGCTTTCTAAATGCCAACCTACCCTTGACAAACATATTCAAATTCACAGTCAACAAACACTAACACTACTAGGAAAATCTTCTTCTTGTCAATTTCATTCCAATAAAAACAATCACACTATCATTGTGTAATCTCTTCCAATTCCTAGACAGTTTCATCGTTTCGTCGTGCATCACTAACCGTTTGTTGAATAACACTTATTATTACATGTAAGTACACTCTGTGTGCTTGCTGAGTCGTCGACTCACGTTTTTCTCTTCCACATTCTCATCGTCACCGTTAAACTAACACCCTTCTGCAACAGCCTACAATTACTACAAGTTATGCTTCTACGATGACGTGGATAAAGTTACACTCGCCAATATTACAATTAGCCAACGAATTATTCAACAAAAACTTCCACATCAAAATTGAAAGTAGGCAACAAAAGTGAAGTGAAAGAAACGCAATCATGCTACTCTGTCATGGTTAGCAGTGGGGACTAGGAGAAACGTGTCATCCTGTATGGTACTCGTCAGCTGCATCCCAGTGAGTAATGGTATCCCAAATGAAATTACACTCCGGCATCCATTACTTCACAGTCACCACATCCAGACGTGATACCGGTCTAACAGATGTCTGACTGTCGATCTGAGCCATGTATGCTGGTGTAGACCACATGTCTGAGGTCCACGAGAACATATGAATCAATGCTTGAGGACTCTTTGTGAAATGGAATTAGAATACATCAGAATACCGAATCTCTACTCACTCTCTCATGTCTTATAAGGTTTGAATATTTTGACTAACATCCTCCCACACATCTTTATCTACATTGATATCAGTCCTTCTCATATACTTACTCCTTGTATACCAATGTGCAGTGTGGCAACTTGAACTGATGTACGTGTGGGAGACGTTTAACGTTGATTCCCTCTATCTGCTTCAAACAACCGGTTTCTCTCTCCTACGTTTTCCACTGTCTGGCATGACCAAGTTGATAACATAGAAATGAAACTTCAGGCAATAATAATACAAATCACTCAGCCATTATGGCGAATCTCCTACTCCAAACTGTAGCTCAGATTATCAATTGGAATAAATGAAGCTTAGAAAATTGTCAGCAGTTTTCCATTTGGTTACCTACAGATGTTCGTCATCCACGTGATGTACTATCAGTCTAATGCTCCATTATAAGACTGTGAAACTGTTATCTCCGCACATCTTAACGATTTAAGTAAACGCTCGAGCATCAAACTAGACAGAGGTGTCTTCGTAATACAAATATCTTTGTCACTCTCAGTAGTTTGGATATGATACACAGTATGAAATATTCACAACCCACTGTAGGCTTCTCCTGACTGCTGTTCACAAATGATCCGAATTAAACAATGAGTTCCCCCTCTCACTCTCTCTACAGCTACACAGAACTCTAGACAGTTCACCTTCTTCACATCCAACACTGTCATAAACTCTTATACAACACGTTTAACTCATAGCCTATCACTTTAACAAGTACTAAGTTGAACTCAACTAATTCTTTATTTCAAGGAACATTTATTGCTTACATATCTAACAAGTTTTCATTTTAGGTGAATAATAAATCATCTCTGTTAAATTAGTCAACATTTCTCTCTCTCTCCCTCTCTTTCATCTCCTCCACTTTCCACTTGTCAATAAACCCTTCCACCTACATCAACTTCTCTACTATACCTCATCTTTATATACCCACAACTGATTCTTGACATCAATCAAATTCCATATTCAGACTGTAACCATCGTTATTTTATGCAAAGAAAACACTATACAGTTCAATGTTGTAACTACTATTCAAAGATACAAATCAATCAACCTGTAATGTGTAATCAAATTATGAAAAGTGATTGCTTGTATTCGTCCATTCTAATTACTAGTTATTCCCCATCCTATCCCATTATGACTGTGAATAGACATATAATAGTCATGCAACTCCATTGAACTCTTCCACTAGACTGTCCCAACTCCTTGAAATACACATATTACAATTCTTCTTCTTCTTCTTCTTCTTACATCATTCTGATGAACACTAAATACAGATATTATTGTCAAATCTAACAACAACAAAATACTAAATTAAGGCTGAGAAATATTTCCAACCATTCCATCAACAGTTTCATTCATTCGCCATTACGACAGAATAAACTTCCTACACATTTACCGATTCACAGAGTGCCAAGATTTATTTATGATACATCTTAACTAAACTTGTCAAATGACTAGATCACTTGATTGCATAACTCACCTGATATCGAACTCCTTCACAGTACTTTATAACACTCTTAGTATACTAGGCAATCAGTCAACCACTTTAATTATCCACTGGAACTATGGATCATTCCTTTAACCAATTGACTTTCAACAGTAAGTCACCGCTCCGAAAACCTCTCCATCTCTACTGAAGTTCTTACAGTCATTACAACAGCAAGTGTGCTTCACTGCCTATTTCATGACTGTGAATGGGCTCACTGATTCTATTTCAATTCCCAGTTTAATTTAGTAGACACTAGTTGACAGCTCAACTGACCTGATCAATATATACACTCCCTCTACCACATAATAAGCCAGTAGACACATTATGCTAATAAAAATACTCTTATTAGTAGATGGAACAATTACAGGTTTGTTATACTGAAATCTCAGTTCAAATTGTCACAAACCAATTACAGTACAAAGATCAAATAACATGATGTATCCAGTTAACAAAAAAAACAAAACAGTAAAACATGAAGCAAACCAATAAGACACAATCAAGGTCTGGATTTCACCACACTATAATTTCTGATCAAAACACCCCAGTCGATCATCATCATCATCTCTCCACTCCACAACTAAAACACGTAAACATACCTCGATATTCCCCAACTTCATTTCACTATGCGACTTCACTTATACCACTTTCTTCTCATACCAATCATATTGGTGCATGATGCAGACAACAATCACTCTCTCTTAGTAATTCTCAATAATACATAGATACTACTGCCCACACCAATCATCATATTACATTTAAATGAATAACAGTCCACTACACTATGAAAACCGAATCCAAACTATACTCGTATACACTCCAAAGAATTCCACGTGTCAACTTCGCTAAACTCAACAAGTAATCTACACTTATCCAACGAAAACTTATTGTCACACTAACAAATTACTACCTCGTTCATAATATCAATTGTGTTAGTAACCAAATCACTCTCTGGATCAACACTACAATTGGACGCCAACATATCTAACAGTACGAAGACTGATAATAACGAAACCATTTTCCGTCACACTAAGCATTGTTCAAATTCACAGGGTGCTAGTGTACCACGGAAACACATATACAACAAATACACATACCAAACGTCAACCAGTGAATACATCTCCACCATTCCGACTAATTTTCAACCATGTCACCAGAAGGCTTCAATCACTCATTCCTGTCATCTTCATAACCCCACCACAGGCACTCTACATCTACCTGCCTGCACGACTCACATCAACATTCAGCGATTTCACACCTTACTACCATGTCTTAGCAATGTCAACATGAACACCGTACCAACCTAATCCATCTTCCCTTACCATTGCATGTCTAACTAGGCGTCAGTTCCCTAGCCCCAGTACATGTACAAGCTTTCTCAGTCGAATAAGCTTCACAACCTCATCAATCGACTTGTCTATCTTGTCTACTACCCTTCATCTGATCTCAACATCACTCAAATGCTGATCCCACCAATCTTACGAACACACGTGTGATCAAAACCTTGTCACCCTAACAGGACAGGATGGATTGCACCACAGTATACTCCTCTCTTAACACGCAGTTCCATATGTCACCGACACCAAAAGTCACGCAAGTTGGCAAATAACAAGCTGAGATTTTGTCACCAATCAACCTGTTCGAACTGATTCAACACTACTAAGTAAGTGAAATGGTCGATACATTCCACCATTTCACAGATATCTAATGCCAGTGATTTTAAATACTCCTATAATAGATAATAATATTATGCAGTCCCTATGACATAATCATCACAATGATGAACACCTATAATAGCATCACTTACAGATGTTCAAGGAGTTTGATTTCCAGTCACTAAGGACTGTACTGTCTGTCAAACAATAGAACCAAATTCATGGGGAAACATATAAATCAACTGATAAACACTATAAGCATAAATTCACTATCAGGACACGTACTACGTATGCCTAGTCACCGATTGCCTCCTCACACAATGTTGGCTGAGGTGGGTCCAGGCTGGAAAAAGGCCCGAGGTGGACAGACTAAAACAAGGCACCAATGTATGAAGTCTCTGACTGTTGGTTTAAGCTATGTAGGACGATGCAGACTAGGTGGTTGGGTCCGCAGGACAAGAGGAACCAGTGGTTGGAGACCCTAGGTGATATGGCTCAGAACCGATGTCAGTGGTGTAGATGTATCCTCACACACAATATCCTCATCTTAACAACGCTATACCGAATATCACCATTTTGTCACTCCTCTTTCCTTTCTTCTCGTACTTTATATTTCTTTTGACTGCATTCACTTATCTTCATCCTTCACCTCACTACCTTTTTACTTGATGTGCTGATATGAGGTGTGGCAACTCGGACCGTTACGCAGTAATGCCTGGTCCTGTGTTGATAATGATGATGATGAAATTCACTCTCATATATACAACTCCTTCACACATAATGAAAGTGACTATCAAAAACAAACGGTACATAGGAATTTATTTGTAAATTAAGTTACAGCTACATGAATAAATAGAGGTGAGTGAATAGAATAGGTAGTAGATATGAAGAACAATCATGAACAGCTAATCTTTTCTTTTCTTAAACATAATTGACTTCAATAAGACAGTCAGTTTAAACTGAAGGGAAACTCAAAGGTCGACGACGACGAAAAGGGTAGGCTGTAGCAGCTTCAGCATCATCTGTATTCATTACACTTGGACTGATATTCTCTTTCCCATTGATATCGTTACATACCGATGCTTCAAGGTCAAGATTCCAAAAACCAGTCGGTGTTGACGGTGATTTATTAACCGGTGATCGTTTATTGGACTTCCTTTTAGACTATAAGAAATCAATAAGCCAATATATAGTTATACTTCAAAAAGATAAGGAACAGTTAAGAGGTTTGTAGAGATTTATTCATCTCATGGTGGAATTTCACCACCAACGACAAGTATCAGTTGCAGAACCAGTGAACAACAGTTCGTAGCATCATATCGCGTATTGACAATAGAGTAAGAAAATGTAAACTATTTCAGTCTCAATACATGTTCGTCACGAGATCTCAACATTCTCAGTTCGATTCCTAGCGGTGTCATGGATTCACACTGCTAAGCACTCCTATACTAGGAAGAGATAACTGTCCACTGCCACCATCTATTCACTGATTCTACAAATGATGCCTACCATTCAGCCACACCGTAATGAATACTACCACAATGTAAATATTAAATGTATTTCACCATCTATTTACAATTACACTGTGACACTTCTGACAGACCACAATACAAGTCGACTTCATGAATGTCCACTTGTAAAACGTGTCCGCGAACACTACCCAGCCTGACTTACAACCGGAGAATGAAAATGCATCTTCAGTTAGATAACAGAACACCTCGTGAACTCAGGCCACTTAGCTCATTTTCAGAGCTCATTCAAAATTCTCTACAGGGTTCCATCAAACCAATCGAAGGGAATAAAATCAAGCCATTCGTCTATAGCTGAAGCACTAGCCATCCACAAGTTCAAACTAGCGTTATGCGTGCAAAAATAAAGCTACGTCCAACCTCTATCTTTGCTATGGCCATCATAAAGCCTTCTCTGCCACAATTCATTTTGTATCAATTCAACCTGCATTACCTAATTACAATCTTATTTTCATGATACCCTGTTTATTCTCATACTCTGTCATAGGTTTACCCGGTATTACATAATCGCAATTTCATCTTCATAACCCTTCGTTCAGTCCCCTACTTTGCCATACATTCATCCTGTATTACGTAATTACACTTAGTTTCATAATCCACTGTCTATTTTCCCACTCTAAACACAAATGTGTATTAATTAATTTCCTTCATCATTCAATACATTTTGCCCCCTGACCACAAACAATTCTGCAACATTCTACCCACTCTATAACATACATCCACAAATGTACAGCTTAGTAAATCACTTCGTCGAAAAGAAAAATCTCTTCTTCACTGAACCACGTCTTGTCATTTCTGCATTACTCAGAAAACTTTTTCTGTACTGAAGTCACCTAGCTCATACGTGTACTTTATAGAGAAAAGCTTTGGCATCTCCTAAAACATATTCATTGTGTTCACATATTCTATAACATACTGCATGCTGCATAACTATCTCCAATCGGCTACCAGATTGATCTCAATCCAAGGGTTAGACATTCTATGCAAAAACCAGTCCGAAGCGATCTCACTCACAATACAATATCTTGAAATTATTCCACTGAACAAACTTCATTCTAATTCCTAGAAAATCAACTTTCTAATAACTGCATTCACAAAATCATCTAACTGGCGCTTATTTACCAGTATCTTGTAAATATCTTATCTTCCAGACTATTGTCATACATTTGCCATACTTCGTCACCCGTCAAGCATCTAGTAATTCCTTTACCACTCTGTCTTCCTCTGTTCCCCTGATTTTTAATCGTCATCATTACGTCAGTAAACGATGCATTTATGTGTACCAGTTGATAGTAAAACCAGGTTCACTGTAACTCTTTACAATGTAAAACCCACATAAAACTACTGAAAATATTATTTAATGCAAAACTGAAGCTCACCCTTGAAGAACCATTGTTGTTCACTTTAGATACCGGTTTCTTCTCGACAAGAGTTCTGCGACTTGGAGGCCGTGGATACTTGAAATTCACATCTCCTCCTCGGGTAGGTGAACCACCAATCGATGGCAAATGAGACTTACATTTAGGCTCTTTCACCTTCTTCGACACGTCTAAAACCATATACGCAAAATAGAATTAAAATCACTTCAGCTTGTAGGATCTAAATTCGAGAATCAACTACCCCGGTAATCAGATTCCTAGCTCAAATACCCACCCTTTCCCATAATCACCTCTACAATGTGAAAATTAGTACAAATATCGTCAATTTTATACATAAACGATACAGCCTTCTGTTCGACAATCTTCGGACAAGTGTACGCTACATCATGAATTCTTAGGCTACACAACTAAAAACAGTAAATTCATTACGTTTCGTATTATGCACATGTCGAACAGTTCTACAAGCAACTTCAACAAATCTTCTATCTAATTACCAACTTATACAGGCGAAATCGATAGTCTAAGTAAATATTGACGAATAGGCTTCTAAAAAGGCTTCACAGACCGTTCCACTGATATCACGCTTCTACCTGACCGTGGCTCAAATGGACTGAAACACCTTCTGACTACTGCCAGGTGCATCTGCCAATAATTCCATCTCACTCGCACGTTCTGACTAACAGGTCTTTCAGTTCTTAGGCAAGTATTGTTTGACATGCCTTGTAAGAGACTTACATACACCATTGAAGTCGCCACTAGCCAGAATGCACCCATACGCCTCACGATCCACGATGTTCTATAGTACTCACAGATAGTCAGTGTTTGCAAGCACACCCTTCTTTAAAGCCAAAACCAGCTTCACTTGCCCTTTCCATGGCATCTTGTAACTCCACCTAGTGTTCATCTATGCTTTCTGACAGTGACACAAATAGCTTCGTTTAGTATACAGTCACTATACTGCGTGCAACCAGTTTCCTACTGTCGACTCGTTCCGCATGACGATTTTCATCACAACCAAAAACCAAGATAAATTTCACGCATTCTCAAGTGTGGTCACAGTCCAGATAGATGCTCCAATAGGAGCAATGGTTTCGAACACATTCACCCCATCACTAAATAACTCCGCTATGATCTATTTACGTCTAGGCTTGAGTGACACAGGGAAGAAATAATCTCACACAATGAAGATAGCTGTGCTGGCAAAAATACACTGGCTAGAAACTAGTTTTCATCTGTGTAAAGCTCTACAGGACTTTCCACAATAAATAATCTGCCACCGACTAATACACACTAAATACCCAAACCACCCTCCCTCCTCCTTTCAACCTATAAAAACCTCACATGTGCATTCAAGTCCCCAGTCTACACTTCAATATCTGCTGAGTACACCTGGTCAAGGTCACCCAGTCGAAGGTAGTAGTCATCCTCAACTCCATCTCAGCTACAGTCAGTTAACGTAAAGACAGAGATGACGACGAGATATCCTCTTCTTTACTAATTACCTCCCACTCCAATAAAACCCAACTTAGCAGCACACAGACGACTGTCCATGCGAATCCACTCGACTGGTACAGCTTCGGCTCTCGCAGGCACCTCGTCAGACACCAACAACAAGGCTGGCTGGCTGGCTGGCTGGCTGGCTGCTGGCTGGCTGATGACGCCATAGACTTACCAGTGACCACACCTTTTGCAATAATATATACCAGAGTTATTCAAATCACTGAGTTGACATATTATATGCAGGTCCTGAGATACAGTAAACATCAATATTGAAATTTTCCAGTCTTCCCCAAACCTATCTGCTTTCCAATTACCATCTACGTCCGAACATTGAAAGTGGCTTGCTTAAGTGGTGACCGCGATGTCAAAATAGTTGTATCACATGTCGCACCAAATGACACAGCTTTATACAACCAACGCTTTGCTGACTCAAAAACATCCAGACACCTCAGCAAAAACAAAGCATGATTTACAAGAAGAATTAAGGACGATACAATGACAAATGGAACAATTGAACAAACAAAACATCCCAGTGGGAACAACACACTCGGCATTGGGAGGCAGGTACATCCACCTGATGAGTCCCAAATACAACGAAACGTGCAGTCTGGATTCCACTGCTAGCCACTGCCCATCATCACTATAAGTTGAACAAACAGATCTTTACACCGTAAGTTCTCTTTCATACACGAAGATTTCATACGTGGCCTGTACTACTGGTTTCACAACGTCCATTCAAAAACACCATCTAGGTTATCACACTACTTGGACACTCAGAACAAATCAGGTGGTTGTTTTAAGAGACCAATCACTCAAACTTTCATTCATCGTAAGCCTCATCCATAGAACACACGAGCTACATGAAATACCACATTCCCATCATTTTCGTCATTCTTCCATTCTAGATCGTCGCATTCATGTGACCAAAATTTGAAATCAGTAACTCTTTACGAAAACCAAAGCGGCATTAGCGACAACCATCCTCTCTTTGCTCTCAAGTTCTCGAAAAACTCTCCAACACCATGTGAAGTCAGTCAGTAGGACGTCACCACACAACAGGCTATGAATACAGATCATATAAGAGCATTTCGAGAGGACCATCGGCATCATCTCAGGGTGTAAGGAGGTGAAAACTTTCGAGTTGCATTTCACAAGATAGAAGTAATCGATGCTTCGAAACTCTAAATAACAACATCACTAAAAACTTATTCCAATCCTACATATATTCACTCTTCACCTCCCTCAAAATTATCAACATTAAGCCATTTTTCATATATTTCTCTTACTTCACTTCTACTCATCTTTCTGTTCCAAGATATCTTCATTGCTTATTATTTCATCTCTCTATGGTGTTGTGAGATAGCTATGGTATAATTCAAATTGGTTTATCCTTTGACGTTGTCGTTTCGCTCTACACTATCCATAACAGATAGGTTGTTATTAAATCGCCCTCAGTAAACCACTGGGTTCTATGGACTAATTAGAAAAATCCATTGTATAAACCATCTCAGACAACCGCATAGTTAACTCATATCATAAGGATAACAATATTAAAACCATATAGGATAGGCTTTTCATACAAAGCCAAGCAATTAGTGATCAGGAAAAAAATCAAAATCAACTCAGTAACCTTGTGTACACTCAAATAGGCAGTGAGCCACATCTGTTGTGTCAGGGTTAATGATACTACCTGCTTGCCAAAATCTACGTGGACTGGGGTTCGAACTCCTCACCCATTTGCTTCAACGTCAACTCCACAAACTAATCAGTCATAACTAACCATCAATTTCTTTGTACAGATTTCAATCGCTATCAGAATCTCTTAGGCCCCAACATGGCTTTAAGGAATTATCGTTGTAAAGTTAAAATAAACACCAAATCGATTGACATAAAATACAGACATTCGTAGTTTTATTTTCAAAAAAAAAAAAAACCCTACCATTGTCAATAGAATCCAATGGATTAGGAGCAACTGATACCTCTGATTCAAGAAAATCAGAAGGTAAACTAATATCATCACCAGTATCATCAGATTTCTGTTTCTCGTGTTTATTTCCATTGGCATCGAGTGTACGACGAAAATAACGACAAGAGGGGCGGTGTATATATTTACATTTATGTGGATAAGCCACATGATCGATACTATTCGTTCTGGTTAACTTGTCAGGCATTTGTTTACTATGTAGTCCAGACTCAACATCAACAGGTCTAGTCCCACGATTATTCGATGCAGGTTGTAATCTAAGAATGTTAAAGATTTCCAATGTTAATCGACAGAGAGAAAGAAGCCGTCATATTGATCAATAAATGTCAAATGAATTAACTGACTAACTTGACCCAGTATAGTATTACTACTTGTGACTCACATCCATAGTGGGGAACCTATTATGCCCAAGTGAAAACAAATCACTACAGTCTACACACATGATCGAACAGTCAAGTTCAATGCACAGATAGGCTCAACACACTTAGAAAGTATTTGTACAATGCATGATAACTGACGTAGACCTGTGGAGCTAGACTGGTAGGGGTTCCCGAGACGAAAGGAATCAATGGATGAGGACTCTCGTTGACATGCATGAAAATCGGTCACAATCGTGCAGATGTAACGCTCGAATATTTCCACTAACCCTTCCTTACCTTCATATCGTTTATTTTCTCACACAACTTTGTCTACTCCAATATCAGTCTTCTTCTATCCACCCGTTCTTTGTGTACTAATGTGAAGTGTGGCAGTTTGAACCGAGGTTCTAAATTGGTCTTGTCAGTCAGTTACAAGTGAACCTGCTACTAAAAATACTCACATTCAACAAAATGTACATTTGAAAAAGTACCGACCTCTCTCCCTCTACACACACACATACACACAACATTCCAACCAATCGAACTTATTACTAAAAAAACACCTTCATAAATGGGGCACGAAATACCTTTGATCGACTACCCCGCGGTCGTTTGTTACACAAATAACAAGAGGAATATTCTGATGAAATGTTTCTTGTTACACAATCTACCTTAGAAAGAAGGATACTTAGAATCACAAAAGACATCCTCTTCCTTCCAATCAACTAATGATAAACATTTACATAAAAACCTTCCATCATACGTTTTATTGAAGATGAAGAAGTCAGCTCGACACTTTCCACACACAGTAGTAACGCAACAAAAGCACATACAATAACCGATTATTTAAGTGGACGAATACAACTTGCAGATGACTTCAACCTTATAACCACACGATTATTTCATGTTAATTATGCCTGTTATCAGAATATGTACTCACAGCATTCAGTCGAATCAAACACTGGTGATTTGGTTAACAGAAAAAGAACACAAAGGAGACTGACTGCTCAACTGGTTAAAAGGTGATTTTTGAGTAAATTTATCCTCTACTGAACACATAGATATTAACTAAGCATTAATGAATACAGATTCACAAACCTTCAGGTTGGAAACAATCATCATTAACCAATTTGAAGGTTTATAGGTTCAATCCCTGGCGAGATTATGCGTGCCCATTCCTGTAGTCCCATACTACGACGAAACAGCTGACCAATGCTCTCAGTTCATTGTGAATACCAACACGAAACTAATCACATTTATTTCTTTATGACTGTGGTTTGTCACACAGCACAAAATATAATAGACACCTCTTGTCTGCTGTCTGTATTTCAATACAGAATTCAAAATTTCTTCTACATCACAAACACAAATGTGGCATAATCACAAACCATGGAATGTTCACTAAGATATATTAACTTCTTGAACAGAATTATCAACAACATAAATCCACTAAATACCTGGATTCATGAATATTTATCGACTATTAAAACCATAAGGGGTACCCCATATAGACTTCTTTGAAATTGGCAACAAAATACATACGGTGATTTCAATTAAAAAGAGGATGATCATTAAGATTGTTTACCGAGTAAAATTCATGTATGATAATTTTGTAAGAAAAAGTACGCGTCATATTATAGAACAAAGAAGTTACGCATAGAATACACAGTGTAGGTATAAAATTCAGTCTCTATGATATAGAGAACAGTTCTGATTTGAAAAGTGAATCCTCAACATGAATTACATTATAAGTACATAAATAATCTAATCAATATTATAATCCCTATGTAAAACTCATGAAAAATATATAAGCTTTGTGTATTATGGAACATACATATTACGCTTGTTAACCACTCGTGACTTGTCCAACATCGAGGAATCTCTGTAAGTTGCATCATAATCTGCCAAATCATTGTGATTTATAGCATTTCTTATCGCCAAAGAAGCATCGTATACTTCCGAAGGTGGACTAAGTGATGGCACAGGAAAAACACTAGTAGTCAGTGTTGTCGACTCACTTCTAGATGTTTCAACATCAAGTTGACTGTCATCGGCTGCTGCTCCACACGGAGATTTACGAACGCCTATAAAAACAAAAGTCATTCATCATAACCATGAAAAGCTTCCACATCTGTAGTCTACAAAACTAATATGATAATGAAATCTTAAAAAAGTATGTACTAGTAAACAGTCAACATCATAATCAAACTTGTAAATTAACATACATGGAATAATAAAAATGCTCTCACCTATTACTTTCATTAGTACAGTAAGGCAAAAATATTCCTTCTAGCTGAGCTTTAAAAGACCGTCTGGGAAACTGTAGTATATTATTTATTAGAAAACACTAACTACAACATGGGATCCAATAGATGTATCATACAAAACAATAAAGCAACACTATGAAGACATAGAAAAAAAAGACAGAAATCGAATATTTAACAAGTAATCACAAAGACACATCCAAGCAAGCATTCAGTAATCATCTCTTACTCTCCAATTATAGAACAAAAGAAAACCACAGCAACACCACTACTGGATTCCATTCTCAGTCATACTACTACTGTCTCAAACCGCTAAGTAGTGAACCATCTATAGATGTTAACTATCCTTCGTCCCATGGTACCACATTATACACTGACCATCTCTCTCAGCTTTCTCCAACAGGAACATTGAATGATGTAAAAACCGCTAAGAAATGCATGACACATATCCAATCCACCGAAGCCGGTTCCTAATGACCACACTCAGTGGATGACGATCCCCTATCATGTCCAAACACATGCCACCAACATATAATACATGAATACTCAAGTGTACAAACTTTCCGGTAAACTATACAGATTCATCACAACTCTAACGTAATCCCTCATCAATGAATTGCCAGTTCAACCTTAAAATTAAAAAGTTAATCTTATCGTGAGCTTTTTTTACTCCTCTCAAGAAGCCCAATCTACTTCATATTGATGAAGGTTGAGCTATAGGCTTTCCTTAAAACGGTAGGGGCCTTTCATTTAGCTTAAAACGGAAAATCTTTACGCCACTTCAACACAGATATGAAGGCAAATTAGAATATCTAATTTTATTCACAAAAATGAACCAACCTAAAAGAAATAATGTTGAAAATGAGTGACGATTTCTTCTTAGAACGCCAACTCTTTCTCATGTGGAAATTTTTGTCTTAGGACTTAAATTATTTCACTACCAAAGTAACAGTTCGTACACGTTGTTTACGTCACATGTTTAAGATTCTTACTCATTCACCATCAATTTGAACTGAAAACACAGTATTAAAGTACACCATTTTGAGTTACCACATTGTTTAGAAGAATGTACAGTGAGATAATCTGAGTGGACAGTGAATGCTTGAGGAACAAGATAAAATAATACCCTCATATAACCAAACTTATGAGTAGTTACGGGCATCACGAACCATTATTCGAATTTTCAACCTTTCCCATCCTTGATTTGTAGGGCAGATTTAGCCTGTCTATGTGGATACATGATTTCTTCGTAAAAATATTACCTGTGTCTCAATCTGAATTATATGCAATAGTGACTAGCAGAAGAATCGAGGACGCCTCTCATCGACTACTCAGTTTATGATAATCACCTCCTTTCCAACAAGCATCAAATCTTATTGAAAATCTGATCTTCACTTTGTTAATTTACACAGGTGAATTCAACTGAATCACAAACATCGAGTTCTGAGAATACGTTGAAACGCAACATTTTAGTTCCACTGCAAGCCAACGCTAAAATATCCAGGTGACCATAAGCAATCAAGATACATTGATTAGCATAGGGAGGCCATACACTTAGTCTGACCAATTCAGGTTATACGAAACAATAATGCGAATGATCAAGTAATCGTGATACTCATATTCACTTAACAATGTGTGGATATCATATCAGAGTATTCCAGTGAATAACACTCGTATCATAAATGAGGAGTGCTGGGTTCGAGTTATGTTTAAGAGCATTTTCAAGTAAAATAAGCCAAGCACTCACCATTCGGTGTTGCATTATCAGTCTTTTCTGGACGAAAATTCTCAACTCCATCCTCTTGTAGACATGCACGCTTCGTGATGGGTGGTTGAATACGACTACTCAAAGCACTATCCGAAAGGCCATCTGACATTGAGGATATCTTGTCAATATTTTCAAAAAAATAAACATCGTTCAAACGTGCATGATAATTACTAACGCTTTCAAAATGCGTATCTAATCAGATTACAACCATAATATGATAATAAGTACCAATGTGTACACGTGTGGGGACCTCAGGTCTCCAACTGGAAAACATTTGCTTTCATTTAAAAAGATACAGGTTACATGGGTTCACCAGCTGCTTCACAGAGTGACCATTCCCTCATGATCCACAAAAACGCTTCATCAAACACTAGAAAATCTCTTAGAAACTTCTACATGATTGTACATGTAATAGATACATGAAATAATCCCGAAGTAACACTTCTGTTGAAACTAACTAAACCTCAACAGTTTACTTTTGAGAATAAAAACTCAATAAAATAAACCACTCGTACTTATCTGAGTACTATTGTTTCGGAAACGACGCAGAAACTCAACCACTACAAGCATTTGAACCCAAAAGGTTTCTGAATATGCATCGTAGTTTCCTTAATTTACAGCGCACTATTTCAGTGTGAGAAGCGGTAAGTGCACTCAAGAAAGTATCATTCTAGGTTGGCGTAATCCACGAATTCTATCCACAAAAATCAACACCCGACTACACTGTAAATACACTTAGATGGCTACAATACTTTCCTATAAATGCTTTTATCCAGTATTTTGAGAAAAACTTTGCAGTACAAAATTTTCTACTGTGAAAACATGGATTATGTCAGCAGCTTACCCTGATGAGTCTAAGTCTCGTTGACCGAAACAATTGGAACCATTTTGGAATTGAGGAAATCACATTTAATGCAGTATTATCTCCAATACAGCATGGATGACCGACATCAACACCCCACCCTTTGTTTTAAAACTAAATCCCGTGATTAAGAGACTGATTTCCAGCTGTAATCTTACATCACCTGACAATCTTTTCGCTTAAAAAAATATTGTGTTCAACTCATTACCTTTCGCAAAATACTTATGAAAACGAATTTCCATGGTCTTCTCACCAGTACGCGACCACTCTAACACATGCTGTGTCAGTGGAGCTTTGCCTAATCGATTTAGGCATTTGACTTTCAAATAATGGGTCAAGAGTTAAGACACCAACTACCGAGGTTCGGGCAATCAGGTAGCAACATCAGCCCTCACACTACAAGCGTAGCTCATAGACTATTACACGAATGTGAAAGAGGTACGACTTGGTATCTTCAATGCCACAAAAATGCTTCCGTGAGTTTCTGGATTTCTGACACACTCAGAACACGAAAACACTGAAACTGTATTCATATGCTTCGTGACAGACAAATAAACGTAAGACCCGGCAAAGAACTACATTGGTTTAAGTTCCTACACTTCACAGCAGTAAGCAAACAATAATGGGATGGAAAAACCAATATTTAGGTATACAAACGTGTATGGAAGGGAAGAGAATTAACAACTGAAAGCTAATAAAAATATCCAAACTCCAGAGGTTATCAAAAGGTGGATATATCAGTGCCACTCTGACCGATTCTGAACCGTTATCGACAACCACCAACTACCAATCCCCGTTACCTCGATGGTTCTAGCCAAGCGGTCTACACTTACTCACATGGATCAGACCAACAGTTAACGACTGGTGCCACATAGTGACCTAGCCACCCTGAACCTTCTTCAAACCCAATCCTGTCCCCACTAACATTGCATACCGCGGTAGGTTGTGCATCGGTGGTCTGCATCTCACTGACTGACTTGTCAAGTGCCCTTTTTCTAACCTCAACATTCATCATGCGACCTCACCACATGTAAGCAATGCTACAGAGACATATATCTTCAAAAACCTCTAACCTCATTGTATCCACTACTCTCAGAAACCGCTTCAGTCATATATCAAAATAGAGTGGGTTGTTTCGCAGTGTACTCGTCTTTTAATACGTATTCAGATAACTCACTGAGCCATTTTTATTCAGTCTATTTCGTCAACAAGTGAGTGAAGTGGTCACCATATACCATTGTTTAACCACCTAACATTAAACCAGGAGGTGCAGACTACTTCTCAAGCATCACATCACATTTGACAGGCAAGAGATGCTCATAGTTTTCAGAAGACCACGCATCCTGTCAGCGTCTTCACCAGTCAGGATTCTTTCGTCTGCCTACTCCAAGCCAATCAGGTGCCCTCCTGGAAATAAGACAACCACTGACAAGTCATAGGTACTCCGGATTATACCCAATAACACACCTACTACGAAGCTGGACAGAAGTTATGATGGTGGATACCACCACCGAACACCACCGCTTGTTGTTACTTCAGCTGCCAATACTCAGTAAGCTCTACACGACTGCATGAGTTCGAGTGGAGAATTTTGACAAGCGTTATGTATCTGCTCGGTCCTCTAATCACTGTCAGACACAGACACAACACGTCTCCTTCGACAGAGGTGAGTGCTGCCTTCAGGTCAAGGAATACAACAAGTGTTGGGTGCTGGTCAGTATGCTTGTGTTCCACAACATGTTGAGGGATGGAGATATGATTATTGCACCTTCATTTAGGCATGAATCCTACCTGGTTTTTTCAGTTTGTTCTCGAGCTTCAGTCAGACCAGACAACTGTGGTGCTTTGGAGACTGTCGATGGATGTTCGGTTAAATCTCATGAAATAAAGACAAAAGACTGAAATTTCAAGGAACTCCGAAGTGAAACCAGTGATTTTTCACTGAAGAATTACAACTCTAAATGTCTCAGAACTTTTCACTGTAAAACTTCGGTAGTTAAGTCTCAAATACATATGGCGACAGGATTTGGAGAGTGGCTGAAACCCATGTTAGCCAGTCAGCTCATTACAAAGAACAGGTAACACAAGTATGTGGTCAGTTTACCTATGTTAGAGCTCTACACTGATCGTTCAAACCCAGTGAAATTCACTCATAACATATAGAAAAACACGAAATGGACACATTTATAGAAGTCAGTGAAAGCAAACAACTTACATTTTTTAGAGGACGTTTATTGTTAAGGCCTATGGCTGTTCCTTTCATAGCAGGAGTTTTAGACTTCATTGTATCTCCACAATCAAGAGTAGAAACCAACGATCGCGAACAATTATAACACACAGTTCGTCCAGCTGAGAAACTTTGCAGCTGGTGACCTACGAACTCTCAACGTTTCAAATTTAACTTACGCAACCCATATATCTCAATTTCTTTGCCCTCTATTATCTCCTTCATCTGTTCCAAAGATCTGAAAGATAACCAAAAGATTGATCTCACTGTATAAGAGACTCGTTTTCTTTTCGCAAGCGATGAACCTCAGTGTCAAATTCTACAGAAAAATAAGACGAAACTTTAGAACTTACCATTTTGAGCTTGCTGTACCCTTCTTCGAACCTCTGTAAAGCGTTTACGTTTTAGACAGTAAATGCTTACTAGAAATAGACGTCGTGATTTCCCTTGAAAACAATCTCCTTAATTCAACCAGAGAACTAGTGTACGCACAATCTATAGCCTGCAAATTGCCACCCAAGTCCATTCTCGAGAAGAGCGCCACACAATTTACGTTCTTAACTCCGATGCTAATCAACAGCAGTTGATTTCAACAAAAAGATGCTTCCAATGCAATATCCAATATTGATAGTGCGAGCGTAGAAAACTGGTATTTTTTGATCTCTCGCGTCTAGTTCTTAGGGCTTGGTTCCAGTTGTTTGGTTTACTCCTGCAGTGGACGAGGAAATCCCCTCTGCTTTCTTGCTTTTAGCTTCGGTGAGGTGGATGTTTTGTGGGTTAGTAGGTTGTAATTTGTAGAGTGATTGGGGAGCTACAGGTTGCTGGGAAGTTTGGAGAACAACCGTGACTCCTGTCTGTGTAGGTACCTGAAGGAGAATAGTAAGGTAGTGGTAAAGGAATGAAGAGAGAAATAAGGAAGGGAAAAATAATAATAACGTAGGGAAGAGAAAAGGGAAGGAGAAGAAAAGGAGGGGTGAAAGAGAAATGAGAACGAAAGAAAAGTATTTGGGAATTGCCCGAATGGTCGCGTGGGTTTGGTTCCTACAGAAGAATTAGTAGGTAATGTGGGTGTATTAAGGAGAGAGATAGTGAGTGGTAGTTAGGAGGGAGTTGGGGGTACTGAGGTTGGTGACTACCTGAGTACGTCCGTGGTAGTCCATGCGAGGTGACATAACTGTCTAATCGCCTCTTGAAAGAGTCGATTGAAGGAGCTATAACGATGTGTCGCGGTAAGGCATTCCATAAAGCACATACTCTTAGGGAGAAAAATTTGGACCTGAGTGTGGTGTTGGCTCTCTGGTGTGCTATCTTAATGGGGTTTCCTCGTGAAGATCGTTCAGTTGCAGGCAAAATTGATTTGTTTGCATGGTCTGCCTGATGGGCGATCTTGTATGCCATAATGAGGTCACCCCTTTTCCTGCGATAACCCAAGGTAAATAGGTTGAGGTGTTTAAGTCTTTCAGGATACGTCTTTCCCCTTAGCCCCACAACTGATTTTGTTGCAGTTCTTTGTATTCTTTCAAGGAGATTAGAGTCTCTCTTGAGTGTTGGAGGAGCCACCGTATTGAAGACCTCTAGGTGCGGCCGCACGTAGGATTTGAAAATGGTGAGGAAGAGTTCGGGAGTGAGGGCGCCAAGCTGTCTACGCAGAAAGTGTAGAATGGCGTTCGCTCTGGTTGTCATACCTTTGTAGTTGGAGCTGGTGTCCAAGGTGTCGGAGAAGTTGAGCCCCAAATCTTTCTCCATGGACACTCTGGTGATAGCACGGTTGCTCAACATGTACTGGAAGTCGGTCGTACTTGCCTCATTTTTACTGATGTGCATTACTTTGCACTTTTCCAGGTTGAAGCTCAGGCCATTTTCCGACGACCAGAGCTCGAGTTGCTGCAAGTCCTTTTGTAGTGCTGCACAATCAGCTTCTTCGTTTACCACCCTCCAAATTTTTATGTCGTCAGCGAAGAGGAGGATGGGTGAGGATATTTTGTCTGGCAGATCGTTGACAAACAGGAGGAACAGAAGCGGTCCTAGGATTGCTCCTTGGGATACTCCTGACGTCGAGGGTCTCCACTCCGACCTTATTCTGTTCACTTTAGTGCAGAACTGCCTCCCTTCCAGGTACTCCTTGAACCAAGAGAGTAGGGGTCCACTTATACCAGCTGACATGATCTTGTGAAGCAGTACTGTGGGTGGGACACTGTCAAATGCTTTGGCTAGGTCGAGAAATACAACATGTACAGGTTTTCTATTATCCCAGCTTTGTGTCCAGTCGTCCCAGGCAGTTAGTAAGTTGGTGGCACATGAGCGACCACTACGAAAGCCGTGCTGAGCAGTGTGGACAGTGTTTTCCTATTGAGGAATTCCCAGATGGTGTCAGCTACCAGGCTTTCCAACACTTTCGACACAATAGGGAGTAGGGCAATTGGCCTGTAGCTGCCAGGGCTTTTTCTGTCTCCTCCCTTGAAGATGGGTGACAAGATGGCCCTCTTCCATTCTTTAGGGAGTTTGCACGAGTCTATTGAGTGCTCAAAGAGGTTGCGAAGTGGTTTGGTAAGCACCTCGGCGCAGTTTTTCAGAACCACTGGTTTCAGGTTATCGCAGCCAGGGGACTTGCCCGGACGTAGCCTAGATAGCTTCTCGAACACCTTTTTCTCTGTAATAGAGACGTGACAGAGGTATTCGTTATTTGCGACCTGGTCGGTGTCGTAGCGAGTCGGTGTGGATCTTGTGTCAGTGCTGAGTTGGGCTTGGAAGTGTGAGCTCAAAAGCTCGGCAATCTCTAGACTGCTTAGCACACTCCCGTCATGGCCTGTGACAAGATTCACTCCCTTACTGGTCGACTTTCTTCTTGACATGAAGCGGTACAGGTTTTTGGGGTTGCTTTGTAACCTCGCTGCCAAGTTTGTTTGGTAGGAAAATCTGTCGTTACGCACTCTAATGTTACAGAGATTGCGAATCCTTTTGTAGTTCAAGAAGTCAGACTCCCTGCGTGATGTACGCCACTTGAACCAAGCCTGCTTCTTGCTCCGGATAAGCCTCTCTGTCCCACGCTTTAACCATGAGGTTCTCATTGATTGTCTGTGTGTTACTTCTGGTACACTGTGACTGATGGCCCCAGTGATTATTTTCTTCACCTCCAACCAGTGTTCATCTATTGTGAGATGAGTCCAGTCCACTGGCCATGATGCATTCATGAGGTAGTCCCTCATGGTCTCATAGTTGGCCTTGCTGTAGCAAGGGAAGGTGTTGGACGTCTCCAGTTGCAGAGCCTCCCTAGTTATCATGGAGAAGGTGATTACAGCGTGGTCACTGAGGCCAAGGGGAGGTTGGATGCAAACATCCTCAATGAGAAGTTCATCGTTCGTCAGAACGTAGTCAAGGCGCGATGCGTTTCCGTTAGGTCCCCAGCGTGTAGCATCACCCACTTTCTCTGAGAGGCCAGCAGTCTTAATTGCATCCTTCAGCTTCTGATTGAAGGATCTGATGCGTCTCCCTTCCGTCTCGAAGAGGATGGACGGGGTGTTGAAGTCGCCGGCAATGACTACGGAATCGTAATTTGCAGAGGAAGTCGTTAAGATAGCCTTGATGATCATTTCCTTATGTGTAGGGGAGCTGGTGGGGGACCGATATATGACTCCGAGCAGGTATTTGGTACTGTGGAGAGTGAAGTAGCACCATAGAGACTCTGGGAGCTGGGTTAAGGCCGTATCGCTAACCATCCTTGCCTTTAAACAGAGTTTACGTAGATAGCCACTCCTCCTCCTGCTCTATGTTCCCTGTCCCTGCGGAAGAGTTCCATGCCAGTAACATGCATCTCTTCGTCGGAGATGTCTGGCGAGAGCCAGGATTCGGTGATGAATATGATGTCGGAGTGCTGATGTGCACGCAGCGTCCTCATTTCTGCTACCTTCCCTCTTAGCCCCCTAACGTTGCTGTACATACATATTAGAGTGTGCCTGGTGAGGGGGAGGTCTGGTTGTGTATTTTCGCAGGATGAGCTTATGTGGTTGGGTCTACCCTCGCCAGTCCTCATAGGACTGGCATTGTTCCGTTTTTTGGTTTTTGTTATTAACTTGGGTGGGGGCTGTGGCAGTGGTGGCTTCTTTACTTGATGTATCTAACTCACTGGTCAGCGCCTGTGTGACGACCACTGACTCCAGAGGTCTTGGTGGTTGTCGTCTCTCCTCTTGCCTTGTGGGTCTAGGCTTACTTTCACATATACGTATTGAGCCACCCATGCGATCCTTCGCATTATACCATGCCTGTAGAACGTCTGTGAGGGAGGCATATGAGTCGAACTGGACGGCGAGTAGTCTGGGATTGGGTATGGTCTTCAGGTGCGCTGGCCTTGGCAGTCTACTGACGCTGTTGGCCGGTATACTGTTGAGACCAACTTTGGTTGAGAGCCATTGCCATTGTTGGACGTCATGAAAGTACCGATCTTTGACCGAGCGGTCACTTGGCAATTCTGGAATCCCATGTACAACTATAGTGTTGTTTCTGTTGGGATTTCCAACCGCTGACTTTCTCTCCTCCTCTCTTATTGACCATGGCTTGTCAGGCCTGGCCCGAATTTTACAGGCATTAACAACGTCCGGTTGTCGCGAGAGGAGGAGTGTGTCTTCAGCCTCTTTGGCAGTATTTAGGGACACACGTAAAGGGGGTGGCTTATCTCGGGGTGCACGAATTCCTCGAGAAAGGCGACATAAAGTCACGTCAAGTGATTCCGAACAAAAGATTAAAATAAATACTTCTTCATTGTCTTCATTATGTAAAAGGATTTATTATTAAGGTTATATGCATATCCAGAGTCTCCGGGTACCGATGGGCTATGTTCTAGAAGCTTTCCGTCATCTACAGATCAGGATTAGTAGCACTACCTTGAGGCCAGATTACCTAATAATCGGCAATCTCCGTCCCTTCAGGATTTGGGGGACCAGGAAGACGATTGTGACCACTCCAAACCTAGAACATACTCCAATAAGACAGACGTAGGACCCAAGGGACCATTGTTCACAAATTCCACAACACGAAGTTTGAGGTAAGTAGATTCTGGTTTTACGACCTTAAGTAAGTCGGCCGACTTGTGAAGGCCAATAATTCCTCGAAATCAGCAACCCAAGGTTCGGTGAAATTCAGCGCTCATAGTGAGTTTCACAGTCTTAGTAGACTGGTTAAACTGGAGACCTAAGGTCAAGGATTCATGCCAACAGGGATGTTGTCGTGCTACTTTGGGTTACTCGCGTGCGATTTACTTAGTCTATGCGCCTCTGCATTTCGATTCATTCATCAAATACACTATTCGTACCTGATTACGTTATCATGTTCCCTTTCCGTCTCACTCATAGATGTTTCACAATTATGCAGAACTAAATGTTAAACTCTGAATCTGTCAAGATCGAGTAAGGACAGTTCCTCAGGGTATTTTGCCCCGTCTTCTAAGTCCCTCGGAACCACTCCGACCCTGTAGTGGATTTCAATACAGTATATCCGAACACTTACCAGACGTAGTTTTGGTAAGCTTAGCAGGTGGCTAGTTATCCCTTAATTTGTA